TATACTCTCTCTCTCTCTCAACATATATATCTATATATATATATATGCAATTCAATCATGTTTAAACACATGCTCTTCATTTTGATCTGAGTATCTTTTCGTTCTCCCAAGATATACTGTTTTGTATACATGTACGATTAAACCTTTACGTTTGGCATAGCATGTCTATCAACAACCTTGGGGGAAATCCTATAGTTTTCTAATCCGTATAACCTCCTTGTATCTCGTTTATATGTCCTGCTGTATCCTTTTCGAGAATAATATAAACAACAATATCTCTATACCTTGCAAATGTACCTCAGCATATACCAGGGCGGGCCGAAGCAGAGAAGAATACGACGAAGATCTTGCAGATAAAATCAAAACGCTTGTGGATCCTGATGTTATCGTTTTAGCCGGGTGGATGCACATCGTCTCCCCAAAATTTCTCGACCGTTTCCAAGGTTGAGGTTTCGAGCTTTTACCGCTAGCTTGACGTTTTTTACGGTTTTTTCCATTGTTAAATTGGCCAGATACATCACCCGCACTGACAATTGTAGCTGTATTAATCTATTATCTGTCGGGTGTGTATGGCAGATATCGTCATCAATCTGCATCCAGCGATGCCTGATAAATTCGATGGCATCAATGCAATCAAGCGCGCATACGATGCTTTCCAAACTGGCGAGATAGAAAGTACTGGAGTCATGGTGCATTTGGTGACGCCAGAGGTGGATCAGGGCCGTGTTCTGAAAGTAAAAGAAGTTCCTATCAAAAAAGAAGATGAATTAGCAGGTATGCTTCTGCTTGATGGGCAATACATGCGCTGATACGATACTTGCTGACGTCAGAATGTACGTTTGAGAGAAGGTCTTGTATATTTATTTATTTATTTTTAATTGTAGGTAATCTGACCCTGTGTATACAAAGTTCTAGGTGCAAAAATTGTATGTTTTTCTCTAACACAAGAAAGCCTTAGCTACCTGAAAACGGAAGTCGCGCATAGATTGTTGAACTCTTTTCATCACTTTCTTACAGATTTAGAAAACCGTATGCACGAAACAGAGCACATATTGCTAGTCAAAGCCGTACGCGATTTCGTGAACGACTTGTAGCTATTCCTAAGGACCTTCATGCTGGGAAATAGAAATTGAAGTGGAGAGAATATGTATTTGGGTCTACCGCCGAGCGAGCAACGTATTCAAGAGACGTATGCATACACAAACAAATACAGGGCTGAGAACACGAGCCAAACAATGTGTATGAGTTTTCGTGCCTGAATTCGGTAGCCATGACTAGATTACTTATTCAACCCTAAAACACACTCGAGTACTCGACTAGTTCAAACGGGTTGGGTTGTAATTTGGAGCTGTGCTCAAGTTTATAAACCTCCCCAACAATTTAATGGATAGTCACGAAACCGAAAACTCACCGTCGCGAATCTCCCAATTTATTCGTAGAAGATGCTACGTATAATTTTTTGATCCATGCTGAAGTGAGATGGCAATCACGGTGCCAACTGATGTCCTTATACTAATTGGAATCAATCATCGACGTGATTCATCAAGTACTCAACAGCCTAGTGAGAACAATAATCGATGCCAAATTTAGATGGAAGTAAGCGACAATACATCGACTATATATATATTATGGTAGTTTTACATCTGACTCGCCAAAAGTTCGAAAGAAAATCAGCCCCGCCATTGCTCATGATATTCAGATTCGGAAAAGCGCCACAAGATATTTGTAACTTACCAAGCCGGTGACGTTGTTATGTAGCAATAAAGCTTCTCTGATGCGCTCTCGTTTGAAGCCAATATCAGTGATCTGTACGAACGCTTTCAGAAACAAAGCCGCTTTTTCTATGTCACCAGGATGCACCTACATAGCAATTGTGTAAAGTGAGTGTCATGGTATATAAAACCTCGAAGACCGGTAAATAGTACAGCGAATTAGTCGAGACGCAATCGCACATAGGATTCAGATCGGTATCGGTGCCGTAGGCCAGTGCCACTGTCTCACACTTGCACATGAACCAAGGGGGTTCAATAACCCCAACATGCTATGTACCTTCAATGCAGAATGCTATGTACCTCCAACGCAAAATTCTATGTACCTCCAATGCAGAATGCTATGCACCTCCAACACAGAATGCTATGTACCTCCAATGCAGAATGCTATGTACCTCCAACACAGAATGCTATGTACCTCCAATGCAGAATGCTATGTACCTCCAATGCAGAATGCTATGTACCTCCAATGCAGAATGCTATGTGCCTCCAATGCAGAATGCTATGTGCCTCCAATGCAGAATGCTATGTGCCTCCAATGCAGAATGCTATGTACCTCCAATGCAGACTTCACGTCTTCAAAATTAAAACCTTCACTACATAGTTTATCTGTAATCAGCAAAAAGTCCAGCATCTGCTTCTCATCATTGCCACAAATTTCTCTAGCGGATTCCAGTTTATATTCGTCGAAACCCATGTCCAACAATTTATCGAAAATAGATTCCCCGGCCTGCGGTTTTGAAGAAGGAAGTGAACACGGGTGGAATTGTACATATAGTAAGAAGAACAGCTAAGACAAAGACACATAAAAATTAACAGCTATTCACAGTAATACTTCTATCAACGGCACACTCAGACACCAGCCTTGGAGATAGAAAGCTACTGCCATAACCTTGATTGTGTCGATAGTTTTCCGAGTGATTGTTAGGATTTCTTAATAGGACCAAAACACGTATGAATAAAAAATGTGCAGCCACAGAGTACTCAGTATAATTTACCTGTGGCACAAATAAACATCATATATCTACTATCTGCACCTGAGAAAATTGGCACTTGTGTGAGCTTGACAAAGCGCAGAACAACAAAGAGACGGGCTGCAGTAAGGCAAACATCGTATATACGTAAAGCAAGAAATGATAGAAAGCTTACATATTTACTACGAACGCGCAATTTCTCCTGTCGCTCTTTCTCCTGGCACTCTGCCCAGGCTTTACGATCATCTTCGCGGCGCCTGAGATCCGATTCGGCTATTATAGTCACCTGCGCCTCTCTCTCTTTCTTAACATTTAGATATAGGCCCGATCTATCCGTAAAATCTGCGAGTCCACAATTTTCGGCATGCAATTGAGATGGAACTTAAGTTAGGTTACAATGAGATCATTTGATATTGCTAATGAGAGTGCAACTAAGTGCACCATAGGTTGTGCACAGCACTACATCAACACCTACTGAGTATATAGGACTTCGAAGAGTCTAATGTAACAAGAACTACTATTCAAAAGAGCAGTAGAGATGTTAAGTCTCGTATGAAGGTTACTGCGGAGTGGTCTCGTAAATCAAATGTCTATAGCAGCGATGCACCAAATTAATATTGAGTAACACGTTAACGAGGAACAATAACTTCGTATCATACTAAAAACGTGCTACCTGGAGGATGCGCACACATATACCGTGATCAAATCTATAAACGTATTCTGAAAGGATGTAAACTCCACAATAACCGTCAACAAAAAATGTTTCATTCTTCATAGAGGCAATAAAATAAATTAGGTGGTAGATCTGAAATAAACACACCTAATTTGGGCAGTCTTCGTGGTTTGGCCACTTGTGCTGGTAGAGGACGGGGCGACGTGGCCGCTATCGCGCTCAGATCAGACAGCTTAGTGACTCCAGCGGCAGCCAACACCATGGCCAATTCTTCCATAATATCCTCTTCATTCTCTGAGTCCTCTAATTCGTCTACAAGTTCGATTCCATCCAGAGCATCAGAATCCTGGTAATGGAGATGAGCTAGAAGTGAATAAAGAGCCGAACTACAACAGCTGCCGCTGTGGCTCCATGCGATTGTTCGCCAGTCAGAATCAACTACATACACTATTGATGATGCACCCTTTAAAAACCAGATCGCAGGAAAGGTAGTCCCAACGAATAAGCACGAAGCGAGTTCATATAGTTAATGATGATTGCCAAATCCAAAAACTTTTGTGCAGATCATTTCCATAACGGTAGGAAACATTTCTTGACATGAAAAATGGACTCATTTTAGATCTCAAATATATTGGCAACAAACCACAGTTGACTTATTGAGACTAAAATACGTTGGTGGTCGCTGGATTGGCCAATACCTGCTCAGGCTGCAACACGCCATTTTCGGACATTTTTGATGTTCGTGACTGGTGCCTCACCTTTTCTTGCTTCAATCGACGAAATTTTCGACCCTGCGCGGTTGAGCGTTAAATCAGTTACGGTAAACATAAATTGAGCACAAATGTATATTTCGGCGGGACCAACAGAAGCAGCATCAAATAGAGACAACATATTTGAACCGAAAGACTAAGAGCGCGCATAAATTGTTTGCAATCTGAGAAGCACCCTAAACGATGCAACATTCAGTATATATTTCAAGTTCAAGTCCAATTCAGCGTGAAAGACTCTTCGCACAAATATTCGAAACTGGAAAGCGACCGAATAAAAGTAATATCGCACGATCATACCTTCGATTCGGAAGTGCTGATTCTTTTATCCTCTACCAATTGTATCAAAAGGTCCTTTTCGTATGTAAACAGATCACTGCTGCAAAGCGATACCGTGTAAAATGATCATGTAGTCAACACTTGCAAGATTCTCGCGTCAAATACATTCTATTAATAGGAATGAACATGTACTATTACCAGTAATTCTGGAACGAAACTTATATATATATATATATATATACAAATATATATAGATGTATATAATATATATATATATATATATGTATATATATACATATAATATATACATATATATATACATACAT